CGAATTTGCGTCCTATCAATCTCTTGGCGTCGAAGATGGTGTTAGAGGGGTTCATGGCGACCTGGTTCTTCGCAGCATCTCCTATAAGACGTTCGGTGTCGGTGAACGCCACATAACTCGGTGTTGTTCTGTTTCCTTGGTCGTTGGCGATGATTTCGACTTTTCCTTGTTGCCACACACCCACGCAGGAGTATGTGGTTCCCAAGTCGATACCGATTGCTGGAGCTTGTACCATTTTGAATAACTTCACTTGTTTTTACTAACTGAACAGTAATAATAACTTTTCACTTGGAAAATCGCTTTGTAAATTCGCTCGGAATCGCTTTGTGTTTAGCTTTCGCTTCACTGTCGTGATTCAAATTTGACTGGTTAGCGCGCCGCGGCGATCGGCTTTTATACGGACCCGAGCGGGCCATCGAACGCTCCCGAGCGTTCTAGAACGCGTGGATCGCACTGGTCGATGCGCCCGGGAAACAACCTTCTACCGGCTTCGATACCGTTCGAGAACAATGCTCTGTTTATCCTTTGTTAAACTATACGGCTAGAGTGAAACAGTTATAGCGGCAATATTCTGGAATTATTTTACGACCGTTACGATCAATGAGCTTAATTTCTATGGTTTTCTACTACGTTCTAGAACGCACTGTTTATCTCTTTTCAGTATCGAAAGTAGGATTGAATAAACAGTATTCTACATAGAGCATAGCAGTATTTTACAATAATTTATTTAATTTCTTAAAGTAGTTTATAAACAAAACAAATTATGGTTTTAACTCTTAAGAAAATTTATGAAAATGTTTTTAATTACTATTAAAAACATATTTATTTACTATTATTTTTTATTGTTTATAATAAGAATAAATATACAGAGATATTTTTTAGAAATGTTGAAATTACTTTAAATTATTTTTGTTGTGTGTGTGTTTCAAGCATTATGCGATTCTGTTTTATGTTTTAGTTATTTTTTGTATAAAGCCAACACTCTGCAACTACAAATTTGAAAAAAATACAATACAAATACCGCCAGTCACTAAATACATTGTAATTAACTTATGTTTACTATTATTGGAGTATAATTTCATTGTAATACTTTAAAAGACTATTTTGAAGAAATTTTAAACATAGCTTTTTTGTGTTTTTTTCTCGCCCAAAAATGATACAACATTGTAAAATGTTATTAGTTTTAAATCTACTTAAAACCGCGTGATATGGAAGTATTTAAGCATTGTTTATAGTAAATATTAAAATATAACTTCCTTCTGGAAAACCAGAATATATAAAAACATTTTTTCAAATGCAACATTTTGATTCCCAAGCCCAAGTCTTCGTTTTCAGATATTTTAAAGTGTCCATTTGTGTTTTTTTTTTTCAAATTATCTACACTAAAAATTAAAACAACTGATCTAGAAAAAAAGAGATAAAATAAACAAATATTGCTTTGATAATTAAGGTAAAAAAAAATATTTTAAAAATTATATGTACCTATTATTCTAATGATTTTTTCTTCAAATACCGGGCGCGTCTCAAAAGTGGCTCCAAAAATCAACCAAATCACACCCCTATAACTTTTTTATTTTTTCAGATAAAAAAACGAGATTTGGTATGTTCGTATATGACATAAATTAGGATTGATTGACGTATTCAATTCTTTTCGATCACTTCCTGTTTCACCGGAAATGACTACAACTTTTAATTTTCAAATAACATTCTTGGATTTTTTTTACTTTATTCGATAGAAAATGACACTCTAAATAGAATGACATATCATATGTCAACTTTTGACATTTTCGCATATTATGGTTTATTTGAAATTGTAACATAAGTGTGTGGTATCAAATTATTCGTAAAAAAATGTTTTTTCCAAATATGCTAATGAGCCACCTTCGTTCTATTTGAAAAAATTGAGATATATGATTAAAAATACGATTTGGGCATCTTTTAACTGGCCAGGACAAGACACGAAAAACATTAGACGATCAAATCTATTTTTCTAAGGCTCCTTGATTAAAAATTAGTGTTTTAACACAGCCATGGCACTCTAGACGCTAGATTAACATTTAAAATACGTTTTTTTAAGCGTGAATGTCAAGAGTTGACATATGATATGTGTCATTTTAAAATCAAACAGGAAGTGACTGAAAACAATTGATTACGTCTCGTTTTTTGATCTGAACAAATAAAAAAGTTATAGGGGTGAGCCACTTGTGAGACCCACCCGGTATAATTGTTATCGAGCTTTAATAAACTAATATTTATCGCAAAATTATTAATTTTTGACTGACAAAGGGACTACATTTAATTGTTTTTGCTTCTACCTATAGAAATGGCTGCTATTAGTTAAAAGAGATGAAAATAACTGTACGTACATAGTTGAAAATTGGTATACTTGTACAAAATTTTAAAAGAAACAACTTTTTTCATTAGTGTTTTTCAAAATTTGAAATCCATATAAGTGAAACAAGTAAAATAGCGGTAACGTTCTCGAATATTTTTCGTCCGCTTGGATCGATACACAGACGTTCCGTCGCCTTCCACAGCGTTCTAGAACGCACTGTTTATCTCTCTTCAATTTTAAGCGTGGAAAGCAAATAAACGCTGTTCTCGAACGTAGTAGAATTTCTCGAAGATCGTGGGAACAGCTGTTTTGTATGAATGGGAGATTTATTAATGTTTACCATTATGTAGTTTATTATATTAAATGTGTTTTACGCTTAAAAAGTAATATTTTTTTAATTACTATTTTAGGAATATGTTACAACAAAAATATGCACGTAATAATAATTATTGTTGAGAGAAGTCAAAATTATTTAATATTATTCTGTTTGATTTAAAGGCCAGAAATGATTAATAGAATTTGTTGTTTTAAATAATTTTTACTTTTTTTTTCAAAATAGCATGAAATTATACCGTATGATCGAATAAAAACGGCGTCAGCGATGGCTATGAAATGAATATCGCTGTCATTGTATATGCATATTGGAAATGTCATCGATCGTCATTTCCACGCCAACTGGACGCCGTTTTTTTTTCGATCATACGGTAGCATTTTTTTAATACTTTTATAACTTTTGTTGGACGTAGCAACAATTTACGAATACAGGGTCCTGCAATAGTGTGTCGGGCATCGGTAACTCCTAGTAAAAAAAACTTGGGAATTTTGTTTAAGTGTAAACCTAAAGTATGTACTAGAATGTATTTCAGGAAAATATTTTGACTTCTACAGGGTGGCTCAAACAAGTGTGAATGTATCGGGCGGATTTTTTTTAAATGAACACCCCGTATATTATTGCATTTTTGGCTTCCTTTTAGATTACTTTATGTAATTTTAAGATATGAGTAAATATGTTTCGATAGTTTCAAAGATATTAATAAATAAATTAAAAATATATATATTTTCAGCCTTTTTTAAAAAAATTATTAAAAATAAAAGAACTATCCTGAAACCAAAACTATATTAGGTATTTACTTTAGATGGTCTATACTTACTTTGCTATAAATATCGTAATCTTAAATCATACAGGGTGTTCAAAATTCTACTCCAAACTTCCTAAAATATAAAATAATTTTTCTTCGTGTTTTTGTATTTAGAATATTTCAACATTTTTAACGATTTCTCAGATAGTCGATTTCATTTCATATGGCTCTTTTAACGGTAAAATACGAGAAAAATCATTAGGCGGCTTTGATAAAAATTTACTGTGGAAAATGCCATATGAAATATAAAACCGCGAATATCTGAGAAACCGTTACAAAATTTTGAAATAGTCTAAATACAAAAAATAGTCATTTTTTAATTCTCCGTCTAATAGGAAAATAATATACAAGGTGTTCCATTTAAAAAAATGAAGAAAATTTATTTTATATTTTAGTAAGCTTGGCGTAGAATTTTGAACATCCTGTATGATTTAAGGTTACGATATTTATAGTAAAGTAAGTATAGACCATCTAAAGTAAATACCTAATATAGTTTTGATTTCAGGACAGTTCTTGGTGTTTTTAATTAATAATTTTTTTAAGAAAGAAAAAAATATATTTTTTGTTTATTTATAAAAATAGTTTATTTATGTTTTTTGTTTCTTTCAGTTTAGCTAATTTAAGTTTAAAACTCTTATTATTATTTACACTTTAGGTTATCGGGTGTTATTAATTAATTATTAAAAATAAAAGTCATTGCAATTTTTATATTTCAACATTTATTTATTGCAATCTAAAAAATAAATAATTCTAACAATAATTTATTAATATTTTAAAATCAGTCTTATTTTTTGGACATAATAAATTAACAATAATTATTTACATTATATACATAGTATATACAGTCATAGAATGTTTTAAATACAGGATATGTATTAATTTAATCTACTTCTTCTATCGTTGGTCCCTGTGATGACGTTTGACCAAATCCTCCAGCTTGTCTTCCACAGCTGCTACCAGGCATGTTGGCTCCTCCATAGTTGTTGTTATTTTGGGAGGCTCCAGAGTTGTACAATTTGGCCATAATGGGACTGCAAACGGACGTGAGCTGCTTCTGTTTGTCCTCGAATTCTTCCTTCTCGGCTAGAGTGTTGGAGTCCAGCCATTTCAGAGCTGCTTCACATTCCCGTTCTACCGTCGATTTATCCTCCGAACTCAGTTTGTCTCCGCACTCTTGAACCGCCTGTTTCAGTTGGAAAATGTAGGCTTCCAGCTGATTGCGTGATGCGACTTTTTGTTTCTGTTTCTCGTCCTCTTCTTTGTATTGTTCTGCTTCGGACAACATGCGGTCGATGTCGGCCTGAGACAGTCTGCCTTTGTCGTTTTTGATGGTGATGTTGCGGGAGTTGCCGGAGCTGGTGTCCTTGGCAGAGACGTTCAGAATACCGTTGGCGTCGAGATCGAAAGTGACCTCGACTTTGGGTACTCCCCTGGGCGCCGGTGGAATGCCGGTCAAGTCGAAGTTTCCCAAAAGGTTGTTGTCTTTGGTCATGGCTCTTTCACCTTCGAACACTTGAATGGTTACAGCAGGTTGATTGTCGGAATACGTGGTGAATGTTTGCGTCTGTTTGCACGGGATTCTTGCATTTCTTTCGATGATCTTGGTCATTACACCACCGGCCGTTTCAATACCCAAAGACAGTGGAGTTACGTCGACTAAGAGAACGTCTTGGATCTTGGAATCTTGAGCTCCACTCAGAACTGCCGCTTGGACTGCTGCACCGTAAGCAACCGCTTCGTCTGGGTTGATTGAAAGGTTCAGTTGCTTTCCGTTGAAGTAATTCTGAAGCAGTTGTTGGATTTTCGGAATTCTTGTGGAACCACCCACCAGAACGATGTCGTGAATAGAGCCTTTGTCCATTTTGGCATCTTTTAAGGCTTTTTCGACGGGTTGTAGTGTTCCTCTGAACAGATCTGCGTTCAGTTCTTCGAACCTGGCTCTGGATATTTTTGTGTAGAAGTCGATTCCTTCGAAAAGTGCATCGATTTCAATGCTAGCTTCTGTACTGGATGATAGAGTACGTTTCGCTCTTTCAGCTGCAGTCCTTAATCTTCTGATAGCTTTTGGGTTGGATTTCAAGTCCTTCCTGTATTTTCTTTTGAATTCTTCAGTGAGGTGGTTCACTAGTCTGTTGTCAAAGTCTTCACCTCCGAGATGGGTGTCACCTGCGGTGGCTCTTACTTCGAACAGAGATCCTTCGTCGATTGTTAGGATGGAAACGTCGAATGTGCCTCCTCCCAGATCGAAAATGAGCACATTTCTTTCTCCTTTGAGGTTCTTGTCCAAACCGTAAGCCAACGCGGCAGCAGTGGGTTCGTTGATGATCCTCAACACGTTCAACCCCGCTATTACACCGGCATCTTTTGTAGCTTGTCTCTGGGAATCGTTGAAATATGCAGGAACTGTGATTACCGCGTCTTTTACAGGCAATCCCAAATAAGCTTCTGCCGTTTCCTTCATTTTCGTGAGTACCATCGAACTGACCTCCTCTGGAGCAAACTGTTTCTGTTCCCCTTTGAACTCGACTTGTAGTTTTGGTTTTCCTCCGCTATTAACCACTTTGAAGGGCCAGTGTTTAATGTCTTCCTGGATTTTGGGATCGTCGAATTTGCGTCCGATCAACCTCTTGGCGTCGAAGATAGTGTTAGAGGGGTTCATGGCGACCTGGTTCTTCGCAGCATCTCCTATAAGACGTTCGGTGTCGGTGAACGCCACATAACTCGGTGTTGTTCTGTTTCCTTGGTCGTTGGCGATGATTTCGACTTTTCCTTGTTGCCACACACCCACGCAGGAGTATGTGGTTCCCAAGTCGATACCGATTGCTGGAGCTTGTACCATTTTTGTATAACTTCACTTGTTTTCACTAACTGAACGGTAATAATAACTTTTCACTTGAAAATCGCTTTGTAAATTCGCTCGGAATCGCTTTGTATTTAGCTTTTGCTTCACTGTCGTGATTCAAATTTGACTGGTTAGCGCGCCGCGGCGATCGGCTTTTATACGGACCCGAGCGGGCCATCGAACGCTCCCGAGTGTTCTAGAACGCGTGGATCGCACCGGTCGATGCGCCTGAAACAACCTTCCACCGGCTTCGATACCGTTCGAGAACAATGCTCTGTTTATCCTTTGTTAAACTATACGGCTAGAGTGAAACAGAAATAGCGGTAACGTACTGGAATAATTTTACGTCGGCTTTAGGTCGATGACTGACCTTTCCAACGCCTTCTACTGCGTTCTAGAATGTACGCTGTTGTATTTGTTTTCAATCGTAAGCGTCGGTATAAATATACAACGTTCTAGAAAATCTAGAACACAGCAATATTGGTGGAATATCATGGAACAGCTGTTTTATTTTTTGATTGAGATATTTTTATGTAATTTAATTACGTTTAATAGGATGTGTTTTTTACACATATATTTATTCTCATTCTCTATAGTGCTTGTCTATGCTCTTATAATTTGTTTGGTCTTAAATCAAATATAATATAATAAAAATATTATATAGTTCAAAAAATATGTATAAACCCATTTTTGAATAAACATACATTCACTATCGAGATTTAATTCATCAAGATTTTTCAAAATATTATATTCTCAAAATATGTATTTTTATAAAATAAAGAATAATATAAAAAACTGTCATTATTTAAACTAAATGACTATACGATCGAAAAAAACGACATCATAGTGGCCTTTAAAAAGGAATTTGAGATTAATTTCTAACAGACCGATTATTTTTAAAAAATAAACTATTATTAATACCCTTGTTTATATATTAATAGTTAGTCAATGAGCCTGTATAAGTCGATGCTGCCAACTGGTGGCAGAAATTAAAACGTAAAAAGGGGCGGAGACTATTGAATTTGGCAGAGAAGTAGGGACTAGGAATTCTTCGAATTTAATTCTCGGTAAAGAATAAAAATATCTTATCTGATTCGAACCGAATTTATACCTCAAAGCGTTATTTACATTTTTTATTTTTGGACATGGATTTATATTTATTTTGATTTTCATGGCCACTTGTTGGATACTAAAGTATTATATTAGGTATATAAATATTTTATTTTGATGGATAATTAAAGATTTTGATTTAGATGGATAATTAAAGAATATAATATGAAACTATACCTACCTACGTCTGTAACTTTGTAAAAAGTGTGGCGGATTTAACATAATGTTTTTTTTAAAATGTAACATCCTATTTTATTTTAGATTCTGCGTAAAAATTCTATTACTTTTTTTTACGTATATTTCTTGTATAATGGTGTAACCTAAAACTAGTTTTATAATATTTCAATTTGTTGATGAAGAAAAAATATTAGATATTTATATGTAGATATTTAAGGTAGAGCTACAGGGTGTTCAATATATATTTTTGAAATTCAACTACGTATTTAAAATAGAAAAATATCTGCAGATTCTTTCAATGACGCAGCCTATACTGAGTGTTTTTTCAAAAGCGGTTCACCTCTATAACTTTTTATTTTTTCAGATATAAAAATTAAATTCGGGGTTTACCAAATTCGGAATGTTAGTAGGTATATAACATAAATCGAGATTGATTCGTATTCCGTTAGTTTCGGTCACTTCCTGTTTCACGGAAATGTATACGAGTACAACATTTGATTTTTAAATGGTACCCTCAGTATTTTTATACTTTATTTGATAGAAAATGACATTCTGAATAGAATGACATATATCATATGTCAACTTTTGACATTTTCAATTAAAAAAAATAGCATTTTAAAATTCAATCTAGTGTCATGGCTGTGTTAAAACCATTAATTTTTAATCAAGGAGCTTCGGAAAAATTGATTTGATCGTCTAATATTTTTGTGTCTTTTCCTTTTTGGTACCTGGTAAATAGGTAATTTGGTACCACACACTTCTGTATATCGAGTCAAACTGTCGTTACCTTTACAACCGGTTACATGTTGTTTTTTATCATGGCACTCTAGATTGTAATTTAAAATACAATTTTTAAGTAAATATGTCAAAAGTTGACATTATTCTATTCACAATGTCATATTCTGTCTAATAAAGTAAAAATGAATTGACGGTACCTATTTAAAAACCAAGTTGTAGTCATTTCCGGTGGGGAAACAAGAAATAACCGAAACTAATTGAATACGTCAATCAAGCCACTTTGAAAAAACACCCGGTATATTATAATTTTTCCTGATAGATTTTACAAAATTCTTCAATTTCTATTAATAATGTCATATAACTATATAAATTACTTTAATGCTTAATAATAAATAATTTTTGTTTTGTCATGGCAAAACTTGTTATAGTGTAAATGAAGTAAAAGAAGGATAAAAATTGAAAAATTCAGAACAGGTTGCAAGCTGTATAGAGTATAGATGTACTTAATATACTTTCTTAACAAGTGTTGAAAGGTTTTGTAAAAATAATAATATATAGGATCAGCCAAAAAAAACTGTTTGAACACAGTGTAGCATCTAACTCCAAGTATTTTTACATATATCTTTTTCTTCACCTCTGTAAAACACTCCTACCAAATTTGTATAGCCCAACTTCGGAAACAACTGACAATTATGTAACATAGGAATTATTTTTTTTGCAAATACTAATGTTATTTATAAAAAAAAAGTTATAGAATTTTAGGCAGAATCGAAAATAAAACAAAAGTTATAAATAAGAGTTTTGCATTAAAAACATGTTTCATTATATCCGCCACATTTTTTGAAGCACCCATACTACAAAAATAAATATTTGAACTGTGTCTCTTAAGATTCTCTATACCCTTTTTTTGAATTCCCAAAACAAACGAGATAAGTAACTTTATTTATTTCCTGATCTCTTATTTTATAATATTTCGGAAGAATCAATCAGGTATCTTATTTTTATAATTATTAGAAATAAATCGGATTTAAAGGATAAGGGATATGTAAGTGTATACCATACGATGAAAAACGGCGTCAGAGGTGGCTTGGAAATGAATATCGATGTCATATATTTGTACGTAAACAAATAGACGCCGTTTTTTTTTTCGCTCATACCGTATAAGAAAACAAATTTAATAAAACAAACGCATTTATTAATATATGTATATAGATTTACATGGTATGAAAAATTCGCATTATAATCTCTGAAGGTCCTACCATGGTCCCACCAATGGTTGGTTAAAGTGTACGACCACTTAGCAGTCACACCTATAATAATTTAATAAAATATGAATATAATAAACAAACTTATTTCTTTTAGATTTTTTAAAAGCGAGTTATATGTGTTAAGTGGTTTTGATTATTTTTAGACTAAATTTTTTAGACATATGATTATTTTAGACCAAATTGTCTGCCCACTCAAACGTCTTTCAAAATTATAATGTAGGAAATTCTTAATATGTTTTTAATTGGGAATACTTTTAGAAAGTTTCATTTTCACCAAAACAAAACTACGTATGTATAATAAATTGCAGTATAATGAACTATAATGCATGATATATACTGGTGGCGTCAAAACTAGATGTTGGGTTTTTCTCGATTATTTCAAAGAGAACTCCACATTTTATGACATAAATGTAGTTTTTTCCAACTTTGTTTTGAAAAATAATTTTTAAATCCAAATAATCGATATTTATACAGTAATGTCCTCTTTTGGAATAGATAATTATTTTCAGCTGCAGCGATAAAATAAATAATATTTACTGATTAAGTAAAAAAAATAATTAGGAAATTATTTTAGACATCTAATTCTTAATTTTTGTCGCTGATAAATATGTAGATACATCACTTTTAACGACAAACCTACTAATAAAAATTATGAAAAACAAATCATGTTTATTCTCAAAGAGACAATTATTGAGAACAATCCAATAACTATTAATTTGGGATATAGATCTTAACAAAACAAAAGTTGATAAAAGATTTGTTGATTTATGATATAAAATACAGTGTTCCATTTGAAATAGCAAAGAAAATATAATATATAGTTTTGACTCATCCTGTATACAATACAAAAAAATAATATAAAGAAAATTTAATCATATAAATAATTTAGGAATTTAGCATATTTTTTATATAATTATATGAAGAGAACATTACCTTAAATTAGTTCCAGTAAAAACTTCCATATTACTTATTTTTAACTTAGAAAGGGCTTTAAATATATTTTATTATATAAACAAAAAATTTAATCCAAAATGGTCAAAATGAACTCTATACGATTACGACATTATAGTATTTTCTGAATGACAATTTTTTTTGACAAATTGGCCAAGAAAAATAAAAAATATAACCTTTCTTTGACAAACTATACAACTCTAAAGTAAATATGTATTTAAATCTACGAATCATCCTGTATATCTATAAAAAATACCTCCCCTGTCAAATTTACGCTACTTTTGCACGCAAGCATACCTATTTTACAAAAAATATGATTTGAGTGAAAATATAAAATAGGAAATCTGATATGAAGCTTTATCAAAACTACAGGGTTGACTGTAGATAAACAATATTTTACGTTATTAATTAAGAAAAATTAAAATACACAATATATCTGACAGTTCCAAAAAAAGCAAAGTAAGAAATCAAACATAATTTATAGCATAAAATCAGTATTTTTTAAATTTTTAAGTCAACTGGTCATTATCGTTTAATCTATCTATCAATCTATCAAATTTAATGTTTATTATTAAACTTATCTCAGACTCTCTATGAGGTAATGGTGGGTTCATACAGCCAAATAAAATAAAATAAGAATAAAATAAAATAAGAAATAAGGAATTCTTATTTGTGTGCGTTCATACAGTCAAATAAAATAAAATAAGAAATATATATTTGCTCATGCGCAGTACGATGAGGCTGGATAAAAGTTAACTTTTACGATTGTTTATAGTAATCTTACTATTTATAGTATATTTATTTATTCGTTGCCTACTATATTATACATTTTACTTATGTGAAATTATAAAATAAATTAAATCCAAACTGAAAATATTTGTAGGTTAGAAT